TGAAACACTAATTCCCGCCTTCACCACCTCACGACTGAACTACGGCAACAGCATCCTGTACGGCTCATCCACCAAAATCATCAACAAACTACAATACATGCAGAACTCAGCTGCCCGTCTGCTCTCCCACTCCACCAGAGATCACTTCACCACAGTCCTTTAAAACCCCCACTGGCTCCTCATACAGCAAAGGATCCAGTTCAAGATTCTCCTCATCACATACAAAGCCCTTCACAACCTCGCCCCTTCATACCTTTCGGACCTGCTGCACCGTCGGTGCAGGACACACCAGTGCCACCTCAGATTTGCCAACCCCAACCTCCTTACCCCCCCTACTCTGTCCAAACGTCGGACCTGAGGGGACAGGATCTTCTCCATTGCTGCCCCCTCCCTCTGGAACTCTCTCTCCCAGCACCTCAGACATTCTCCGTCACTCTTTTAAAGCTGCACTCAACACTCACATATTTAAACCTGCTTTTAACTTGTGATGCTGTCATGAAAAGAAGTTCAGACCGGGCCAGTTGATGATAAACTACTGCTCGCCAACTTTATTCTTATTCTATACTTAATACCTATTGGTGTCCTGATGATCTTTGAAGAATGCACTGGAATCAGACAGAGTTCAATGCAATGGAGTTTATTCTTCAAGCTAAGAACACAACCCGAGTCATTCTTTGGAAAATGACAGATTTATTCTGTTGGTACATAGTCTTATATAGTGGGACTGACATCGCTTTTGCCCTTTTAAGCTCTTCCTCTGTTTTCCACAGGTGTGTCTCTTTTACTGTCATGTGGGTGTGAGTTATGTGTGTATGGTTTCTAATGTATGTATTACAATAATCGAGAGCTCTGATTCTTTTCTCTATACTGTGTCTGAGCTTCAGTGTCTCCTCTGTCAGGTTTCCCACACCAGTCTTAACAGGAGATCTCAATGAAAGCAGCAGGGATTGTGTTTTACACATTAGGCAGAGATGAGCCAACATAAACACATGGTTCTGAAGGACAAAATAACAGAGGTCTGTCCAGCATCTGGTTACACTCTCGCTGCTACTCCCAGACCTGGCCAATCAAACAGAGAGAGAAGAGCTAGCTGCTCGAACTGTCCTCCAAAGCTACTGTGGCTGCTTGTATGTCTTCTATGTTGATGTATTATGTTATGACTGCTGTGCATGCATTTGCTAAAACATAGACTATTATCCAGACTTCACTCAGCAGCCGATATTTGGATGTGAAACACTACAGTAGCATTAAGTTGATCAAAAGAGAGCCTTCCATCATTGATATCTGCTTCCATTCGGGCTGTGACATCTCCATTTGATTGGATATGCGCATCTACTGCTGCCTGTATCCAAAACTGAGGATTGTACTACAAAGCAGGATTTGGATCTAGCACTAAATTACCTCAGTGCTTCATGGCGACAGGACCACTAAGTCTAGCATGAAAGATAGATAAATAAAGTAACAGGACTTCCACTATGAGATATCAATGGAATATAGTACAGACATGTATGGTCCCCACAGAAAAATCCTACTGACTTTACATCTAGCACTTTTTTTTTTATTGTGTGGAAAAGTGAGTACAAAGTGCAGACATGTACATAAACACATATACGAGCTAAGAAATTATACAAAGTAAGACAGGGATGAGAACAAAAGGGACATAAGGACACTAAGGACAATAACAGGTTTAGACTGAGGAGTATAAAAGTGGGAGGTGGGGGTCCAGCAAAATGTATATAACACACACATCCGTGTGTGTGTGTACGTTTGATTCTATGTGTGATCCGTTTGATGGGTGAGTGAGGGGTGTCGATTGAGGTTAGGTAGTAAAATTGGATATATAGTACCATCTGTACATAAATACACAAATACAGTACATGTAAACAATATCCCTATATATATATATATATATATATATATATATATATATATATATATACATACATACACAAGAAAAAACGTCCTGTAACCACTGTGTGGCACTAAACAACGCACGTCAACATGCATGATGTTGCTCTATATCAAGTGTAGACAACATCATGTAAATGTCATGTGAATCGGATATTGTTTGTCAAATAACGCTGATTTCCTTTCGCCATTAGGTGGCGCTTTGACTTAGATGGAAAACTGGCTTGTAGACATCTTCAGGCCATGACTGTTATCAAACATGGCAAGTTTGGGACAGATTTGAGCAAGTCCAGTGGAGATACATCAACTTGCTGTTTCATGGGGAGTCACGTAAAATGGCCGCCATGCCACGGCTACAACATTTAATCAAACGTAAAGCTTTTGATAACTTTTAATCACAAAGGTCTTTACATTGTACTAACCAAATTTGAAGTGGATCCGCAAAATTCCCTAGGAGGAGTCCGTTAAAGTATAGCGTCTAGAAATGGTCAAAAATGAATGGAAAATTCACAGAAAAATATAAATTGCAGACTTCCAGTATAATTTAGAGCATAGTCTCAATATACTTTTTTAAGTCTCCATGTGATACACGTGCCTACTAAATTTCATAAATCTAGGTGAAATGTACCGCTGGGGCTGCTCTTTTGAATATTAGTAGGGGGCGCTGACAAGGCAATTTTTTTATAGAAAAGTCAAAACCCCATACGAGTTATTTATGTTTATCACATTTGACACATGTGCAAAGTTCCATGACTATTTGATCATCCTAAGCCACAGAAATATCTGCTTCCTTTTCATGATGAATAATCCACGTCAACATCTTTTGACGACAACTCATAAAAAATCATGATGAAGTATCATCAATGTCATAAGGCTTGCCTCACAAAATTTGAGGTTGATCAATTTAATTGGCTATTAGGAGTACATCAAAGTATAAAGTGTGTTATTTCCTTTTGCCACTAGGTGGCGCTATGACTTTGTGAACATTTTGGCATGGAAATGTGCTCAAGCCTGAACTAGCATCATGCATAACAAATTTAGAGCACATTGGACTATGTACCTTGGAGTTACAACAACTTCCTCTTTCATAGCAAATGGCACAAAATGGGAGCGAAGTGGGCTCACGCCACGTCAAGGTTGTTCAATGAAAACTCACCATTTTGAAAAATCTTCATCATAAAGGTCTTTAACTTGTCCTGACCAAATCTGATGTTGATCGCATAAGCTCTGTGGGAGAAGTTTGTTAAAATACAAAGCCTGAAAACGTAGTTTAATGGGAGTCGCATAAAATGACCGTCACGCCACGGCTACGCCATTCCACCAAACGTAAAGCTTTGTACTGTCCAAATTTGAAGTGGCTCTGATAAAGTCCCGAGGAGGAGTTTGTTAAAGTATAGTGACTAGAAATCAAGGGAAAATTCACACAAAAATCAAAATGGCCAACTTCTGCTTGATTTTAGAGCATGGTCCCAAGAGACTTTGTTTTAAGTCTCCATATGATACATATACCAACCAAATTTCATACATGTAGGTTAAACGAGGCGCTGGGGCTGCTTTGTTGAGAATTTGCAGGGGGCGCTATCGAGGCAATTTATAACAACCAAGCCAAAAATCCACATGAGATCTTTAATTTCATCACCTATGACATATGTACAAAGTTCCATGAGTTTTTGAGTATCCCAAGTCACAGAAAAATCTGCTTGCTTTTTCATTTCAAACCAAATTTTTTTAGTGTAGAAAAGAAATTCCCAGTTTACCTTATCAAATGCCTTTTCTGCATCTAATGAGACGATGGCTGTTGGTGAATTTGTATGAGATGTGTATTGGATTAAGTTCAATAGTCTGCGTTAAGTGAGTGTTTTCCTTTAATGAAGTCAGTTTGGTCTGAGTGGATGATAGATTGAGTTACAGTTTCGATTCGTGATGCTAGGGCTTTGCTAATGATTTTAGTGTCAGTGTTAATGAGAGATCGAAGACGATATGATGATGGTGGTTTGGGGTCTTTATTGGGTTTTAATAAAAGAGAGATGGCAGCAGTGTTCATGTTAATTGGAAGTTTGGAATTTTGTTTCATTTCAGCAGTTAATCTGTTGAAGAGTGGGGCTAAAATATTCCAAAAGTGTTTATAGAACTCAGCAGGGAAGCCATCAGGTCCTAGTGATTTATTGTTTGGCATTAGTTTGAGTGCATTGCGGAATTCTGTTATTGTAAATGGATTCTCAAGTGAATTTGCTTGGTCTTCATTTAATTTCAGTAAATCAATATAGCTTAGGAATGTGTCAATGTCTTGTTGGGTTGGTTTATGTTTTGATGAGTATACATTTGTGTAAAAATCTTTGACGGTCTTATTTATTTCTTCAGGTGTTTGCACGGTCTTCCCTGCTGAGTTCACAATCATTGAATTTGTTGTTTTTTCCTTGTTTCGCTTGATTTGATGGCCACTTATTTTCCAGATTTAATAATGTATCGAAATGTTTGTTTCTGAGCCTGTGTATGAGAAATTGAGTTGTCTTGTGTGTGTGTTTATTCAGTTCTATTTGTATTTCCGTAAATCATTTTAACATTGTGTTGTCGGATTATTTGCGTTGAAGTTCTTTAATCTTTTCTTCTAAGTAGGTTTCCTGTTCGTTGTCTTTCTTGTGGAATATGATATGATTTTTCCTCTTAATACTGCTTTACCTGTTTCACAAAGTAGTGATGGTGGTCACTCATCCTAACATCTACTAAATCAATTGTTGCACATTGTTGTACAAACATTCACACCTTGTCTCCTACCAACAGTCCCTATATGTGTCTTTTAACCATGACAACAAACCGAAACAAAGTAGTTAAGTTGCCTAACCCTAATTAAACCCTAACCACAGAAAACACTCTGCATGGGTCATTTTGAAAGGCAATTACAGATGATACATTTTTAGTCAAGGTCAGAGGAGTTGTTGGAAAGGACTGTGGTGCATAGAACTAACTGTGTGGCAGCATGCTTAACTGTCCAAAAGAGTCAAGATTTTTTTAAAAATCATTTTTAATAAATAGTCTAAAATATAATTTCTGCTTCACTACTTTGACATTTCATGCATCTGTTTTGTACACAGATTTTAGGACACAAAGACCTGACGTCCCCAACACAGCGTTACATAGACAGCAAGGTGGTACGAACACAAACGGAAGGAGAGTGGCTGTCCTTTGACGTGACAGAGGCAGTAAATGAATGGCTAAACCACAGAGGTGAGTGCATAGTCCTCCCATCACTGCAGGATGTTGCTCCGAATTTATTGCACATGTTACATTGTTGCATCCCCTTGTTGTGACTTTTGTTTCTCCACAGACAGAAACAGTGGATTCAAGATCAGCCTGCATTGCCCGTGCTGCACATTTGTACCATCAAATAACTACATTATTCCCAACAAGAGTGAGGAGCTGGAGGCACGGTTTGCAGGTTATTTGATTCAGAAAATTGTTAAGGCATGTTCAAGGATAAGTCTGGTGTTTTTCTTTATTGTATTAATGTCAACAAATCCCCTAAAGAGAGCAATACCAACAATGTCTCTGAATACTGACGGTTTCTATTACTTACGTCATATAGAGTCATCAGTATTATATTTTGCCTGTTTCATAACCAGTTAAATGGTCTTCATGGTAAGTGGTTTCTTCTGACCACTATGTGTGAATTTGTTTTTCTCTGTTTTGCATTTCTAACACAAACAATCGAGCAATAAAGCTGGACTTGGAGGGTGTGTTCAGGTTGGGGTGAGTTGATGCGAAGTTAGCTTTGTAAAGTAACACTTGTAAAAAATTTTTTTTTAAGATTATTAAATGCCAAGGTTAATCAGTCCAAACTGAGATCACCAAGGATAATCACCTTCTGATCAAGCAATGGTGCAATTAATCAACATTCATTTATTTTTCTACGGGCTACTGAAGGGATAGAAGGAGGTCTGTACACCAATTATTTTTACTTTTTACATTCGTTTTTGTGGCCCAGATCAATTTACAAGGAAATAAATTAAAAATATTAAGGAATTTAGACTGAAGTCAGCTCAAGTACAGAGAAAGATGATTATACATGTATTGCCACAGCGCCACATTTACCAGCTCTATCAGCTTTGAACATTTTAAAACCACTAAAAGAGACTATCAAGCACTTTCTTCAGCCAAGTCTCTATTAAAGATCATAACATCTGGATGCATTTGAGATAATAGGATACTTAAGTGATCAAATTTGATATGATTTAATAAACTACAAACATTCAGATGTAGGAAACCACTTCTAGCTTTAAAAAACTGTGGATAATTTAAATTAGCTTCTAAAGTGATGCATTGGTCCTTGTTGCGGAGGTGAGGAGATTAGCAGTTGCTGATCTGAGGGAGTGTAGGAGTGTGCTATTGAAGGAGTGTGGAAAGGTAGGAGGGGGCCATGTTATGGAGAGTTTTTTGAGAAAAAGGCTGTTTTGACAATGTGGTTGATATGGGATTAAAATGGAAGGGTTGAGTCTAAAATTACTCCAAGGTTGCGAATATTGGAAGAAGGGGAGACAGTAGAGCCATCGACAGGGAGGGAGAAGCTATTGGGGTGTTTGGTGTCTGATGACCTCCGATTCGTTGCAGTTTATATTGAGGAAATTGGTGCCCATTAAAATTAATGCTAGATTAGATGGATTTGGTGAAATATTAAGTAGAGACGTATAATTGGATGTCGTCCAATGTTGAGGATGTACAGGTTGAAGAGGAAGGGACCATGCCTTTGGGGACAACTTGTGACACAAGGGCGAGGTCAAATTTGCAGTTGTTGATACAAAAGAAGTGATATCTGTCTGAGAGGTAGAATTTTAATAAGATGAGGGCAGTGTCTTTGATACCAAAAGAGGATTCCAGGCGAGTGAGAAGGATTGGAGTGGTTAATGTTGTTAAATCTTGCAGGGAGGTCTAGTAGGATGTGTATGTTTAGGAAGCCGGCGTCCGAGGTGAGGATCATTCATGACTTTTAAGAGAGCAGTTTTTGTGCTATGTTTTGTTCTGAAACCAGATTGAAAGGATTGGAGTCCAAATGTGTTTTCAGTTGTGAGGTAACAGTTTGTTCAAGCATTTTTGTGAGAAAAGGGATATTTGATATAGGTTTGACCAGTGGAGAGGGCGGAGTTTATTGTGGTGATGATAAGTGGTCGTCATGCCGGAGATTTGTCAGAGGGGATGATTGGGGAGAGGTTAGAGAGGTGCTGGTTGATAAGAGGAGTTGGAGTATTTGACAGAAAGTGGGTGGAGTTGGCGTTGGTCAGTTCATTGTGGACAGATTCTAAATTAGTTTGAAAAAATTATAGGAAGGAGTTGCATTTTTCAACTGTGAAATTGGGAGAGATTGTCCATGAGTTTAAGGAGTTTGTTTATGATTGAGAAGAGGACTCTCAGGTTGCCTGAATCAGATTAAATCAGACTGGTTTAGTACGTGGAGCAGGCAGTGCGGAGGGCATTCTTGTAGATATGAAGATGTTCTTTGTTATTTTTGTAGTCATTCGAGTTGCCTTCCTTTAAAGTTCAGTTGGCGAAGTTCAGGGGTATACCAGGGGAGCACTTTCATTGCCGTTACCTTGACAGTTAGTGATGAAGACTTTGTGAGGTAGATGACCGCATAAAACTCTCCCAAGAATCTTAAAGAAGAGGGTCTGTAATGAAGACCCTCTACATTACAAGCATTTGTAGACTGTTTCAAGGAAATAAGAGACACACTGAATGTTTTATTCTACTGTTGATTGGTTTCTGGTGGATGTTCTCAGGTATAGTTATTGAAGGTCGGGCCTGTAGATACAAACATATTAGTAGTTTGGCTATCTTTGCCAAAATGATCTCTATTGTGATGTGTAACCACAATAGAGATCATACAGATAATTGACATTGGGATGTTAGGAATCCATTTTAATGTAGTTGTTATAGTTTAGGTAATTGTGTTGTCAGGTAAGGGGCATAGTTACCTATATTGTAGTGGGGTTGAGGTCCCCGTCAGTGGCAGGCTATATAAGGCTGCCATATTCAATCTAGTGCTGTCGCTGCCAGGACCACATGATGCCTGTGGACCATGTAATGAGCTGTGTCATGTATTTGTGGTCATTGTTGGTGAAATAAACACCTGGCTGGTTTACACCTAATCTCTGTGTCAGTCCTCCTGCTTCCAACGTCCAGCCGCTTTGTGGCCATCCTAACAGGGTCTTATGAGGATGCTGAGAGATTGACGCAGGAGCCAGATGTGATAGGGTTTCCGATGTTGCATGCATCTTATAGTGATGTATTTTGAGAAATGCAGGTGAAATGAAATCCAGCATGAGATGGAGGCCGGTGGCTGTGACCAAGGCTGTAATTGCCCCCAAAACCCAAGGATAGAAGCATCCATGCCAAGTTTGAGTTAGAGGAACACGCCAATCTTATTCAAGAATTATGCAGTTATGCTCGCTGTGCAAGGTTGTAGAGATTTCTGATGTTGTGATGATGTTGCAATGACAGGGAACTGCTAAATTAGGTCAGCGTGATCAAACATTGCCAGCCAGTAGTGTAGGCTGGCTAGTGTAGGCTGGCAATATAGCTGAAAATGTATTTTGCGGTATAATTTGAAGCACGGACGGTAACAGTATCACGGTATATTCGTTTTCCAAAGAAAATCAATACAAATGCTTATGAAGGGGTAGCGCACTGGTATGGCAACTGAATGGCATAATTTTACCCATCCGAAGTCAATGTAACCGACAAAAGTGTTCATTTGTAGTGGTTATTTGCAGAAAACACAATTCAAATTAATATGAAATAAATGATTGTATTTTACATAAGCGTAGGCTCTGATTAAAAAAATAAAAAAAGTTTATTCATGTAATATAAGCTGCTAGGAGCTAGTGTTTAGGAAGTTAAAAGGTCATAATTCCATCTTTTGCATCTATTTTATATTGCTGTGAAAACAGCTCCTTCAAACAACCGTATTTATGCAAGTTCACCTAATAGCAGTTGCAGCTGCCTGAGCAGAGGAACGAGTGAAGAAGAGATTTCTCCTCTTGCTGAGTAATCAAAGTCTTACTACTACGACAAGACCAGAATGTAATGCCATACAGACATTAAAAGCCACGGGGCTTTTACAATGACTTCACTACATCCACAGAAGCAACGTAACTTTGATTTAATTCTACATCGGAAAACTCCATACTGTCTCGGTGGTCTCTCCCTATTTCCTCATTACATCTTCACAACAACAAACCCCTTATCAACGTGGCCAATCTGCGCCCCCTCACAAGATCATTTCAACCAATCAGAATGTAAAACCGCCTAAAACCTGCCATGTTCAACAGCCGATCACTTAACAATAAGTCTCCTCATACATGACTTCATCACGGACAATATGCTTGATCTTCTCTGCGTTACAGAAACTTCCTTGATTAGTTTCTACTGAATCAAACCACACCTGATGGCTATCTACACATGGACAAACCACGCTTTGAGGGTTGTGAGGGTGGAATTGCAGTTCAAAACCAGTGAAATCTCGATCAGAACTCCATCCTCTTTTGAATATCTGGCCTTCATATTCTCTGGTCACTGCCATCATCTACTGCCCTTTCTGAACTATCTGAACAACTTACCCAGCTCTACTCCCCATTTGTACTGGGTGATTTCAACATTCACATTGACAACCTCACCTTCAATGCAGCCATAGAATTTCTGGACCTTCTCAATTGTTTCAACCTTACCCAGTATGTTACATTCCCCAGCCACAATCATAGACACATCCTCTACTGGCGACCTATCTATCACTGATCATCTATCCATAATCCTGGACTTTCATATGCCCACCCCAGCATCTAAACAGCACACAAAATCCAAAATCCCAAGTTCATCTCTCCTACTGCTCTAACTGCTTATTTCTCTGAGATAATGGCTGCTTTTGCTCCTCCAGACAATCCCACCACCTCTAACCTAGTGGACAAATACAACGACATACACCCTTCCAGTCTGGATCAGCTAGCTCCTATAAAAAAGTAATTCACTCAATACACGTGCTTTTACATATTCTTTATACATATGCATGCAACTGGTGGTGGTGTTTCGGCTCCAGCAATTTCCACATTTAATTTATATTAGATTTGTTCATTAATTCCGATAAGTGATTCATATTCATTATATTCTGATAGCTGCTTTGTCATCTGCAAATCACTACATTTTCATTGCTTTCTGCATTAGCTGCATATTTATTGTATTCTGCTATTCTAATCTTCATAGCATCTGCCAAATTATTCCTATTCATACATTTTTGGGTGTCACACACTTTGCATCATGGTCTAACGCGACCTCACTCGCTGCACTGGTCTTATGTGACTGTTTTCTCATTTCACTGACTCACATGTCCTTTCCTCTGGTCTCACATGACCCACTATCCTTTCCTCTGGTCTAGCGTGACCCCACTTTCCTATCTACTGGCTAACCTGACCCCTCTCTTGGCTGAGGCCCAACATCACCTCAATCGAGCACACCATAACATCTTTTACTTATGTAAAACATAAACCTTTCTCCCATAACCAATTTTCTATTTATGCTTAGAAATCAACTGCTGCAGTAGCTACGGTATTTATTTTATATATTTATATAAAATAAATTTCACAGCATCACTACCCCCTTTTAATATGTGGCGACTGTTGCTCTGTGGTCGTTCACTTTTACATGAACCAATCAGATTCTGCCACGGTTTCCCTAAGCTAATCACATAGTTGCTGTCAAAATGTTAAAACAGTTATCCTCTCTGCTGCTGTCAGTTGTCATTGCAGTATGAACCAATGTAACCCTCCTCCACTATATTCACCTCCAGTCTCCATGATATCCGGTGCTCACTCCTGCTACTCATCCCCTCATTGGGTCTTCAGCAACTCCCTTAATCACCACCACCACTAGTGTCTAGACTCCAGGGGGAATATTCCTGATCTAATCACAGCATCATTACCACCTTTTAATATACTACGATGGAGTCATATTGCCAAAGACTTTTAACTAATCATTTCATTATGCATGTGCAATAAACTATTGTTTCACTCTAATGAAGTATCTTCTGACTGAAATGGCATGAAGCTGCTCAATTGCCATAGAATAAACTAAAATAACTAAACTGATTTTCCATTGGATTATAAAACATTGCAGACAAAGTTTGTGATACTTACACATTTTGTTCAGCAAGATAATCTTCTCAAATGAACACTATACAAAAACCGACAGAACAGAGTTAGGCTCTGAACAAATGACACCACGGTCACATGAGCGTGAGTATATAAAACAATGCTGTAAAAGGGGGGCTAGTCCACTCAGCCCTCAATCATCTGGAAAATAACACCTACATCAGAATGTTGATTTCAGCTCAGCCTTAAACACAATCTCCCTCATGAAACTGATTAGTAAACTTAGCACTCTGGGCTTGAGTACCTCACTCTGCAACTGGTTATTAGACTTCCTCACAAACAGACGCCAGGCAGTTCAGACTGGTAGACAAAACCTCCTCCACTGTGTGCTTAACATCGGAGCCCCCCAGGGCTGTGTGCTCAGCCCCTTCCAGTTCACGCTGTACACCCACGACTGCCACCCCAAACGGCTTTAAGTTCCTGGGAATCAGCACCACAAACTCCATCCTGGTGAAGAAAGCTCATAAACAGATGTATTTCTAAAGGAAACATAAGAAGGCAAAATTTCTGTGCCAAGATCTTGTTAACTTTTACAAGTGGAGGAATAGAAAGCATCCTGATTGCAAACATTACAAACTAACATGGGATGTGTACGGCACAGAACAGGAAGGCTCTACAGCGGGTGATTAAAACTGCCCAGAACATCATTGGTTCATCAAGCTATCATCTACTGAGCATCAGTGATATTGTTAACAAGAGGAGCCTGCGAAAAGCTAAAGGGAAATTAAAAGACAAACCCACCCAGACACAACCTGTTCACCTGGCTGAGACTCCTTAATTCATCCTCACCATATAATCCTTTTTTTTTTTTTTTCTTTCCTATGTAGCAAATCGGGACTACAATCTAAATTCCGTTGTGCAACTGTCGTACGATGACAAATAGAAACCTTGTAACATGATGACGTTTAGTAGTCTCATTTAGCCACCTGTTTGCAACCGCCTTTTTTGAGACTCTTAAAAGCTTCTAAATTTACCAGAGAGGTATTTACTGACGTATTTTATATTTTAGAACAAAACATTAAAATCTCTTCCCTTTGTGTTAACCACAAACCTTATTTCAAACATCTAACCAAAAGCATATTCAAAAAACACATTGACTTCCAGACGAGGGAACCGCAAGTGTAAAAATGCTGAATCATTTCTGGGTTTCAAGATCTTAAGTGTCAACATTTTTGGATGGAACTGCCTGTCCTTTCCAAACATGATGGTGGGGCGACAAGCCTGCCACAATTCGTGGGTGTGGGGGAGGGGGTTGCAGGCATAATTTCACATATTGACTTTGTACTTGCATACAGTAAAATGCAGCTTATTGACACATTTTATGTTTCAGGTATTGATGACAGCTTCATCCATAACGTTGACCTGAAAGTGTCAAGGCGCAGGCGGCACAGCACTCGGGCTCCACACCTTCTCCTCATGCTGCTGCCTTCATACCGGCTGGAGTCCCAGTCCCAATCCCAGTACCAGCACACAAGCCATCGATCCAGGAGAGCGCTGGATGCTGCCTACTGCTCCAGGTACTAATCTGGAATTCACACTCGCACATCAGGAGAGATTCTCTCCTCTTTGAGTTCTCCATGTTGATCTGAAGTCTGCTTCAGGTGTCACACATCCTGCTGAAATCTAAGTATTCCTAGCTGTCAGTAGATGTTTTTATTTTGTGATAAGCAGCCAAATACTCCCATGTAACATCATTTGCATATAAGGACAATCTATGGACAGCAAAGTCCAGCCATAGTAATTATGAGCTTGACTTCATGGCAATTTATGGATAGTGCTATTTGTATTGAATCTATGTCAATTGTCTTGACAGAACAAGTTGACACAGTCTGTGTCTATAGGCATAAGGCTCTCAATGGAAAGCCATAGTAAGGAAGTTCCTCTGTTCTTTAGCAGCGCTTTAAGGCAGAGTGAGGCAGGCTTCATTACAAATTTTATTGATGATCCTCCATCATATTAGAGGTGAACATCACTTATTAAGTTCATTGGAACAGAAAAGAAGTCAGACAGGTCGAGAAGCACAAGCAGAAAAAACAATTAATGTTGTGAACATCCATCACAATCTAGGTGGCAGCACTCTATCTTCAGCTTTGACCTCGAGCTCTACTACCTGACCTGAACTTGACAGGCATCAAGCGTACAACTTCAGGCCTGGCTCCTTTTCATTTTTGCTCTTTGCTTCTCTGACTTTGCCAATCGACTATCCCCATGCAAGTATAAGTGTAGAAGAGAAAAGATATAACCAATGCGGCACACTGATCTTCAGCAATGGATGGAATAGTGGAAAAATGTCTTTGATGCCAAAGACCATATTTAAACAGACAGTGGTCATTATCTGGGGTTCTTCATCCATTTTAGTGGTGTCAGCGTGATCTTTCTCAGCAGTTAACCTTAGTACAGGGTTGTTATTAGGCAAACACTTTTACTTCCGCAGATATTCCGTATCATAGCAACCCAACCCAATCAAAGCACCTCAGCTGGAAAAAACGCTGTGCCTCCAAAGCTGTCTGTTCCTACTGCACTACAATTCACCTCTCCCCTTCATCTTTTTGTAGAAACGTTCAGGACAACTGCTGCTTACGGTCACTCTACATTGACTTTAAGAAGGACCTGGGCTGGAGGTGGATCCACGAGCCAAAGGGCTACGAGGCCAACTTCTGTGCCGGAGCCTGTCCATATCTGTGGAGCGCAGACACCCAGCATTCTAAGGTACTTCATGAGGGACAGGGTCATATTTTCTTAAAGTCCTAATTTCTTCATTAAATGGCTGTAATACTTGTGTTTTAGGTGTTAGGCCTGTACAACGCCATCAACCCTGAAGCATCGGCATCACCCTGCTGCGTCTCCCAGGACTTGGAACCTCTCACCATCCTCTACTACATCGGCAAGACCCCTAAAATAGAGCAGCTCTCCAACATGAAGGTCAAGTCTTGCAAGTGCAGCTAGACTCCCTTACAAACCAGCACAAACACAATCTCCCTCTCTGCCTCCTTCACACACACTCATAGTGGATTTGCGCATACAAACCGCAACTGTACTTTGTCTTACATGCACTGGTATACTCACAGCAGTGTGTGTACAGAGCAATCAAATGCATACACAACATACAGGGACAGTGTGGTCATACCAGGAACTTGACTTTGATACCAATGCTGAGTACCATAAGTACAGTGCTACATTGCAGTATTTGGTTGGTTGACATAGGTTCACACTGCCTCATTTGTGAGCAGAGATTTGCATGATGTGGTTGGTGTGTAATGTCTGGCTTTCCAAGCAACAGGAGCTATCCAATGTCCACATGCAGCTTTTTATACCCATTAAACCTTCTTCTCCTGGTGGAGTGCCTACCCAGTCTTAATGACATCACATTGTTCTTATGTGGCCATGCAAAGCAAACTCAAGGCAGCAAAACGTCCACACACAGAATTATGTGCTGATGAAAACCATGAATTCATGCAGTCGAGGGTTTGAAATGTTCATCACTGCTCTCTCTAAGGGAAACACTTTCATGTTCGGCTCCTGGCAATAGTTGATAAACCAGATTAGATGGAATGGGATCTTGTTCATGAGAAACTGGTTGATGCCAAGCAGCAACCGTGTGATGAATCCAGTGAAGTGCCTTAACACGCTGTACCACTATTGGACACTAAGTAATGGTTTAAGAATCTGACTGTATTGAAATTTATTCTAAAAGGACTTATCCACAACAGCATCGTCAAAAATATGGTTACGGTCAGTTCTGTCATTATAACGTGTATTTGCTTAGAACTTATTAAATTGAATGTTATAATCTTTAAGATTTCAGTGCCAGCTGCTTTGGAGACAAACATACATACATACACACAAACATACCTACATACTTAAATACATACACATACTTAAATACATACACATACATATACGTACAGTGACACAGATATGACTTTTGTACAGGTACAACCCTTTCTGAATTCTGAAGGCCCTGTCTACATGCATCACCTCACACAGTTATCACACGAGACACAAGAGTAAGGCAAACACTGGAAGTATAAGTGATGATTGTCTATATAGGAAATAAGTCCTGAAAATAACACTGCTGCCCCCCCCCCCCCCCCCAACCTCACCACAGTGAAACAATGTCCCCATTTCTGTGTTTGTCTTTGTTGGGTACCTTTTTAGTTTCATTTAAGGTTAATTCTATTCCAATTTTTAATACAGATGTTTGAAATGATAAAATGATGAATAAATAAGCCACCACAACACTTAGGAGTTCCGTAAAGGATAAGTCCAGTTTATTATAACAATGATTATCTTTTCGTAGTTGACCATCATCCCCATTCAATATTACAAAGCAGTAAAACCTGAATCTCTTTATTTGTTGCAGATTTAAAGAAAAAAGCTAATTTAGAATCAAAATGATGTCTAGTCAATTCAATTATTTAATTATTCAAGACAATTAATAACTGGTGCAGTGGACATTGAAAACATGCCGGTTTAGAATTAGCCTAATGTTTGGCCTGTGGTGACATACTGTAGTGAAGTCACACACTCAAGTCTCTGCTGCTCCCGGTCAGAAACACCGGTGGAATACATTCTGCTTCAGGACAAAATACCAGGGCAGACTTTACTGTGAGGTAGGGTAGACAACCTGGGTCTGTGGCCCCAAACAGCTATAATACAGCACAATATATTATGATGTTTAGATATGTTACTATTCTAACTCATTGTACCTAAAATAACTTACGAAAGACACACCCAGGTTGCTGTTACTCACAGTCAGAAACATTGGTGAAATACACTTAGTGGAGGTAATTTCCAAATAGGCGTATTAGTTGCTTGTTTTGACAGAACCACAGCAGAACAAAGTAGAGCGTGATTTAATTAGTGGAGGTATTTTGCTGGCGATACCGTTATTAGTGTTCTAAGTTAGTATCAGCTGTTACACCAGGAAATACAGTTTTATTCACGAGGAAAGTCACACCCAAATCACAGCCTACTCACATTCACACCGGTGAAATACACTCTGGTTTGATTGTGCTTCCAGCTGGCTAGCAGCCACTGTTGACTCCAGGGAAGTGAAGAAGAGTTCAGTTGTGAAGGGAACTTCAGTCAATGAGCCCTGAAGCTCAGCTGCTGCACAGAGCCATTGTGTTCTTGTTTATTCAAAGTTTATCAATATGGAACGTGTCCCGTGTCCAAATTGCCCCAAATTCGACGACCCACCAAGATATGCGAAGGACATACATACAGACAGACATTCCTTGCTTTATAATTGTATAGCTTTAAGTCCAAAATCACAAATTTGCCTCAAGGGGCTTTACAGTCTGTGCAGCAAAAGACAAAGATGTTTGTCCTTGGACCTGCGCTTGGATAAAGATGGCATTACAAGAGAGCGTGGGTGGATAGAACGGATAAGAAACCACCAACAGTTACAATGCCATGCTCGTTAAATGTCTTGGTTGTTTTTGTACTTTGACAGATAAATCATTGTTTAGCTTTGCTAAAATCATGAAGTGTTAGAATTGTAATAGCAAGGTTTCTAGTAGCAGATAGTCATTTCTGTTTGGATATAGTTTGGTAACTGGAAAAGAATTAAAGAATCCCTCTAGAGATGACAGTCTCACATGCTTGTGAACCAGCGGCTATAGGAAGTGACATCATTAGTTTATTATTTGGATGACAGGTACTATTACATTGTATGCAGTTTACACAGTTCAGCTTTGACCTGCTGTACTGTAGTAGTGCACACAGTTTTCCTGTGCAATGAGGCAATAATAGTGATGTTTCCGGTGTGCGCACTTTCAGTTTGACCTCCAAAAAAAGTGGTTTGAATAACTTGGCTAAAGTGTTGGTTCGTTTCCAACCCGTCTGTTCGTACCTGGATTCAAAAAGAAAAAATCAAGTCTGAATGAGTTAGAACTAACACGTTCACAGCAAGCCCATCCCACAGTGTGTTTGGCGTACAGTGTTCTGTAACATCTGACAGATTAGTCAGCAAGACTTTGGTTTGACACGGGACACCTGTCTCCTGGTTAAGTCCTGTATCTGTATTTGCTCATGCACAAATTACTCAGTACAATACTTTGCGCTTAGTTACTGTGAATTCTGAAAGAAGACAGAAGGAATATTTAAATTTTCCCCACATTCAAACTTTTGAGTATGTTGACAAATAGAACAGACAACAGTTCATGCTCACATTCAAACGTATTGCAATTTCGTCACCGATCAACCTGACCTGCATGTCTTTTGACTGTGGGAGAAAACACATGGCTAGCCCAGGGAGAGCATGTAAACTCGATGCCAGGTGGGAACCAAAAGAAACATTTTAGACCCAAATTGTAATAAACCAGAATTATCCCTTCAATCTTATTAACACACAGATTTTTGCTGTCCAATCTAGAATCATTTACATTAAATCCATAAACAGACGTGTCCTTCATGTCCCTTTGTCTGTATGTTGACTGGCTGAACTTAGCTGTGACTGCTGTTGAACAATTAGAGGCTCCACACAGAGAAAAGTCACATGTCATACTCAGCACAGCCACACATCGGTCTGGGTTCAGACTATTGCTCAGTGATGATGGAGCTGTTTGTTTGGAGATTTGTTGTAGATTATAGAAATTATTAATGAAGAGTATGACTCATAGACCCAAAATTATTACAAAATGTATCCAACCATCAGCAGCCACCACTGTAGAAGCATTTTGTAGTGTCATCAATGTGTCATCTTCCTACCAACATAAAACTTTGATCTCACACTTGAATGAAGACTGTCTGTCATTCATTATTCTTAAATAAAAACAAGCTGCACTGTTTTAATTGTACTATTTTAAAGTACGTAGTTTTGTTGTTAGTCAGAACTCCCCCTGTTATCCAATGAGGAGTGCCGATGTAGGTCACCTGACCCCAGCCCCTTCGGCCGTTTAGTGCCAGTGGACTTGTTGAGTAGCAGCAAAAAAGAGAGCTAAGCATCAACTTTGTCACCATAGAGCTGTTATTCTTTATGTGTATTTGTTATTTTGATGATGATGATGTCGTTATTGTGACCCACTATGCTAACATTGTTGTGGTGGTAAATAAATTATTTAAGTTTCAAGGGAATTCAGTGTTATGTGTGTTGTTTCTGATATTTACAGTGACTGCTGCAGCATGTCCTCCTGTCCTCTCTAGGAACTTGAATCCAACCTACACTTGCTAAGACAAAGAAGACGCTCATGTTAACATCATTTTTGCAATGCAATTTAGCTCATAACATGATATTTGATCAAAGGATGATACTCATTTGAGAGACAAAACAAAAAGGATCTGCAGCACTTGATACAAGAGAGAATGCATGTGCTAATGCAAAACTGTTATTTATAATGTTGGTATGGCCTCCAGTGGGTACACATTGCAAATAATAGTGGTGCAATAGATCAAAAAACTCGTATCACGGATCAGAGTCACAGATCCGATCAGTACAAAAGAAAAAACAAACATACTAAATGTTATACTTATTGTAAAACTCACCATTCAAATTATAAGGAAATAAAAGATTGTATTTTTAGGGATTAAAACAAATCTTGTCATTAGTCATTTTAATTTAGAGGTATTGTAGCCAGCTCATAATTCAGTGTGGCTTTGTGGCACAAGGCAGTAAAACTGCCTGTGCTAAAGCACACTGTATATTATCCATCGGGCTTAATCATAATCAGCTTTATCCAAAAGTTTGGTGTGCTTCTCCTCACACAGCGTTGCCAACAGCGGTGTGAAAAATACATCAAAACGTGCGGCCTGATCGGGAATCGTGTGCTATCTATTTTTCGGAGAGATTCGCCAAGCGCTTTTCCCGAAAATCCCCAAAAACTGAGCAAAATTTCTCCATTCACTTGAATGGGGTTTCGGCGTGAAGAGAGCTAAAAAAACACTTAACTTTGGGCCCATATTGACTAGCCATACATTAACGTAGAAACATGATTCAAAGTTTAAAACATAGACAAACCGCTGCACTTTATTGAGCCAAAGGGACATTTTGATAGCTAGCACAGTTTTCATGAAGTCACAGATTAAGTTTCAGGAAAATTTTGGGTCTGTTTCAGATTTTATAATGGGTGTTTGCACGGCTCGTTAAGAGTCAGAGTGGAGCAGAGCAGGAAAATCTTCTGTGATTTTTCCAAACAAATTGCTCCAGCTCCCACAATCTTTACTCTTTATACACTATTTTGGCCAAAAAGCTTGGAAATGTTGTGCTGGTCGCAGCAAAGTGTCTATGGAATCCAACAGACTTACACATTTGGCTCAAAGAGCCGCAGAGCGACATGAACTCCGACCAACTGCTCCATTAGACTCCATGTTAAATCTCACCACTCATTTCTCAAAGAACGCAGACGGTACCAGTTTTGTATATTGCTCTGGAGCTCACATTTTTAACACCACAAACATAAAAAACACATTACCGCGTTTGGCAGAGTCTTATCTTTCTCACGGTATCCATATTTTGGCACTCAGACTCCTGCTAATTTGTTAAAAAGAGGCAGGGGTTTTGTTCAAAATCACTGATTACTGCAACGTTTCTTAATCAGTCTCCCTCTAACACCAGGTGCGTCTTAGCCATGGCAACCAGTTACTACACGCACCCGGGCTCTCTCTCTCTCTCTCACTCACTCACTCACTCAGTCCATCTAACTGTCTGTCTGCCTGTCTCACTCTCCCACTCACTCAGTCTGCCTGTCTCACTCACTCACTCTGTCTCTCTCTCTCCTCTCTGTCTATCTTTCTGTCTGTCTCTCTCTCTCCCTCTCTGTGTCTCTCTCTATCATACAGTCATTCAGGTCTTAGATATTTTTAGAGGACTTTTCCCCTCTCACCACCCCCCTCCCCCCATTTCAAATTAAAAGCCCCACAGAATGAATTCTAACTGGAATGCTTGTGATGAAGCCTCTCATTTCAGTGTCAAACATTATGATTCTGTCTCCTCTCCCCCTCTCTCACCCACCCAGTCCCACCCTTTCAAAATAAAAGTCCGACAAATACAAGATTCAATCCAAGAGTATGAATCTAAAATGCAGAAAAGAGAGTATCACTATCTCAATTGAACCTGAATGACACTACCGGTAACATTGGCGTGTGTATATATTGCGATTTCTTCGGGCAGTTGAAGCCACACTGTCAAAATTTCTTGCGAAATTTTCTAGTTCATCTTTAATGTCTATTTATGTCGTTGTGAAAACAACTTGATTTATTCAAGTTTCTCACCAAAACTACATTTTACGAGATGACATGTGAACACATCATGATAACGTTATAATTTACCTTCAGCCAGTACTCATTTTCACTGAACAGAGCCTGAACACATCATAATGTGACTGAATGAACCTTTGTTCGTTGACTGTTAGCGGTGCTGCTAACGTTACTAGCTCTCCTCCTGTCAATTGAAACATGATTGGTTGTTGACAATGTAACATTATCAGAGATTGGCGACTAGAAAAGCATAAATGCCGATGTCCTGATCGCATATTTTACTGAATATTAGTGGATAACAATTGTCAGTAAAACTTTATTTCACACTATGATGGTTAACGTTAAACTGTGTAATTAATAAACTGTGAACTGCGAGGAGGGATCTGTACAGATCATGGATCGACAGTGGTCTATTACACCACAAGTGAACAATCATCAGCATAAACAAAATGAATACATACAGTTGTGTGAAAAAGTGTTTGCCCCCTTCCTGATTTCTTATTTTTTTGCATGTTTGTCACACTTAAATGTTTCAGATCATCAAAGAAATTTAAATATTAGACAAAGATAACACAAGTAAACACAAAATGCAGTTTTTAAATGAAGGTTTTTATTATTAAGGGGGAAAAAAAATCCAAACCTACATGGCCCTGTGTGAAAAAGTGATTGCCCCCTAAACCTAATAACTGGTTGGGCCACCCTTAGCAGCAACAACTGCAATCAAGCGTTTGCGATAACTGGCAATGAGTCTTTTACAGCGCTGTAGAGGAATTATGGCCCACTCATCTTTGCAGAATTGTTGTAATTCAGCCACATTGGAGGACAAAAAACATAAAGGCTCGTCTCAGTTTTGCCAGAAAACATCTTGATGATCCCCAAGACTTTTGGGAAAATACTCTGTGGACTGACGAGACAAAAGTTGAACTTTTTGGAAGGTGTATGTCCCATTACATCTGGCATGAAAGTAACACGGCATTTCAGAAAAGGAACATCATACCAACAGTAAAATATGGTGGTGGTAGTGTGATGGCCTGGGGCTGTTTTGCTGCTTCAGGACCTGGAAGACTTGCTGTGGTAAATGGAACCATGAATTCTGCTGTCTACCAAAAAATCCTGAAGGAGAATGTCCGGCCATCTGTTCGTGACCTCAAGCTGAAGCGCACTTGGGTTCTGCAGCGGGACAATGATCCAAAACACACCAGCAAGTCCACCTCTGAATGGCTTAAGAAAAACAAAATGAAGACTTTGGAGTGGCCTAGTCAAAGTCCCGATCTGAATCCGATTGAGATGCTGTGGCATGACCTTAAAAAGGCAGTTCATGCTCGAAAACCCTCCAATGTGGCTGAATTACCACAATTCTGCAAAGATGAGTGGGCCAAAATTCCTCTACAGCGCTGTAAAAGACTCATTGCCAGTTATCGCAAACGCTTGATTGCAGTTGTTGCTGCTAAGGGTCGCCCAACCAGTTATTAGGTTTAGGGGGCAATCACTTTTTCACACAGGGCCATGTAGGTTTGGATTTTTTTCCCCCTTAATAATAAAAACCTTCATTTAAAAACTGCATTTTTTGTTTACTTGTGTTATCTTTGTCTAATATTTAAATTTGTTTGATGATCTGAAACATTTAAGTGTGACAAACATGCAAAAAATAAGAAATCAGGAAGGGGGCAAACACTTTTTCACACAACTGTATGTCCTGCTGTGTCCTCATCAGAAAGGACTTGCATGTTTCTGGCTTGAGACTGAAGTAAAACTAGTATGGGTCTGCACCTCAAGATGTAAATCCAATGCCAACCTTTAGTGCAAATGCAGGAAGTAGGTGGACAGTTAGGGTGTGGAGGTCCAGGTTGTTGGTGGGTGTGGAACATGTCTGACTTTCTTACAGGAGATCGGAGTTCATTTCCCAAATGACTTTAGTTTTTAATTACCAGGAACAAGAACACTTTCCTTACCTAACCACATGTGTCAGATGCAGTGGCGGGCCGTGCATTTTATACCTGGGCCTTCTGTGCTGTCCTACACGTATTCGTATTAAACTGTTCGGTACGAGGCTTACGAACCGAACAATAAGTTTGAATAATACTAGTGCATTTGGAAAATGCAGAAGCTTAAATTGTGGGAAATATAATGTTTTCGGTGGACTGCGCTCACGTAACAGACAACAGGCTTTGTGACCTTTTGAACCCGGAACAATAACAAAAAACAGCTGAGGCACCGCGTGTGTTCAGGGAGGCTAAGCTAACTAGCTTAGCGGGGAAACAACAGCAGTTAGCTGTTCCCTACTGATTCAAACAGAGAATCAAATGTCCAAAATAACCCTGCGATGACGGGATGCTTCGTCATTAATGGACAAGTCAGAATCAATGTAATTAACACAATAACAAGAACAAACTCACAAGAACCAGTCACATATATTTATATGACAAAGCATGACAAATCAACCCAGCAACACTGCAGCACTAGAGCACGAGCCATTCATATTATTCATAAAAATGACATGATAGGCAAATGAACACAGTAGTAACGATACTGCAGATGTAAAAAAAACAAAAAGCAGTTGACTTACCAGTGCTGCTGTTCACTTAAAGACAAAGTCCATCCTCCTTTCTTTGTTAACAAAGTCAGTAACTCCCAAATCCATTTACCCTCCTTCAGCCATTGAGTGTTAAAAAAACAAAAAAGAATCTACACCAAGCAAAACGCTAAAAATGTCATAACTTCTCTTACATATGTTTCAACCTGAACTCTTACTAAATACTAACATCTGCCAGCTAGCTTTCTGTTTGACAAAAGTGACACTGGCCCACTGACCAATCACGGCGCACGTTAATGCAGACGTACTTAGCAGGCTACCTGGGTAGCTCTGGCACGTCAAAG